TAATTGGATTGGTCATGTTTTACGCAGAAACTGCCTTCTAAAAGAAGTTATCGAAGGAAAGATAGAGGGGCGGATAGAAGTGACAAGAAGACGTAAGAAGATGCTGGATGACCTTGGGGACAGAAGAGGATACTGTCATTTGAAGGAGAAAGCTCTAGATCGCATTAAGTGGAGGAATTGTTTTGGAAGAGACTGTGGACCTGTCGTCTTGACAGATTACTGATGATGATGATAAGAGAATGTTGAGGCCAGGTGATGGGACCCTCAATGCTGATTCATGTGCTGGGAAATGAATGTTCATCCACTTATGCACTTGGCTTGAAAAGTGTGTGTGTGTGTGTGTGTGTGGGGGGGGATATCATTGTGCTGAAATCACGAATTCATGTGCCACTGCGAACATTAGGGGATACATCTTCCACTAAAAGGGGAGGTTTTCTTTAAAGAAAGTCAGCATGGATTACACTGAGATGATTTGCTGTTACATGTGGTCAATTAAGGGTGGTCATTTATGATTGCAGACCAAATATTGACACAGTCTTTGTTGAAATGAAGATCATCAAGTAGCATGAGTATTCTGCAGTGTCCTTAGTGTAGATTTACTTCATTTCTTGTGAATGTTGCATCTGTGCACACTGTGGTACAAAACATCATGTTCATATCCAGTTCTGTGTAGAAACCATTGACATAAGTGGAGACATACGTTATTGTTCCTTGGGTGTAGTCCTTATACAAGTTCTATGTGAAAGAAGTGTAACTGCTCCTCAAAAAATGTGTGCCAGAGTGCATTCTGAAAGAGGCATTTCACATGTGACCCAACAAATGAAGGCTGATGGATTAGCGTGTACAGCATTGTACACCTCTCTTCATTCTGCACATTTCATCTGCTGCAACCAGTGTGTGCTGATGACATGAATGACCCTTTCCCTCAGACCGTGTTATATGATTGCAGAAACATGTCTCTTGAATCTGGATGCTGATGCTGCTCTTCTGTTGATGCAGCTCTAGCATTTCCACTACAAGAACTGTACATAAATCATGCTGTTATGATGACTATGCTGTCAGAATTAATGTGATCCATAAATGAATGCAGTATGAGCTCCAGCTTCTGATGCTGTATAGTCTCAGTATTGAAACTGTTAAATAACCTCTGCCAAAAGGAGCTCCATCTTGTGACCCTATGAAGGCTTCACCACATAAACTCTGAAATGCTGTAACTCTGGAAAGTGGTGAACTGGACCACTGTTGGTTTACATATTCTGCTCCAAATTATTTTCTCAGCTTGCTAAAGTTTGATCCCAGGACTCACCATATGGGTGTGTATGTTGATGTGTGTGTACAGAATAGACTTTTTCAATGTATAAGGTGCATGAATAACTTCAGAGTAATTATGATTAATAGGATTATAATCCTCTTGCTTAATTCTTTCAGTGCTGATTATAATAATTATTATTGGTGATAGCTGGAACCTAGAGTGCATCTCATGATTGTCAAAACAGATTAAGAATTCATTTCAGAATAATCTAAGATAGTAAACAGAAATGGAATAAACAAAGGAGGTGGTCAGTAGTGAAAGCAAGACATGACTTGCAATTTTTAATTAAAATACTAGAATCCAAAGCTCTTCCAAGACTTGACCTGACAAAATTTGCATTTTATGTTGCAGTGTGTTCCAATTCTTGGGCGTGGTTTTGAAACTGGAGGCTATAAGTGTGAATGTCTGCAGGGTTATGAATATCCATTTGAAGATCTTATTACATATTTTGATGGACAGCTAGTAGAAGCTGAATTCAGTAACATTGTTGCCAATAAACCAACAAGGTAATGTTTATTTTTATTAATATAAAGTTGTCTTCCATAAATTTCTGATGGGACCTGGCTGTAAAACTGATTGTTATGTAATGATCTGTCATGAACCCCAATATTCTAATTTAAATTTACCCCTTTAACTCTGTAAAGTGGTTACTATATGTAAGATTTGAGGCTTTCACGGCGGTGACTATGAAGAAAGCAGTCTTCTGGGATTTGGCACCGTGTATATGTGGTGTTAACCGACGTTTCGGAGGAACGTATCGCCTCCATCTTCAGGGTAGAAGAAAAAATATAAGAAATCTTCAAAGCGAAGAGACTGTGAGAACCGGTAAAAGCAGACTGCGTGGAAATATACACAGCTATATGAGAGCAGAGAGGGTAGGGGGGAAGGGCAAGTATGCAAGTGAAAGCAGTAGTGTGGGAGGGGTAGGGGAAGGGAGCTGGGACAAGCGGGAAGGTCTATATTGGGCAGACAGGCCGCTCCGTGGACATGAGGTTGAAGGAGCATCAGCAGCACATCCATCTCGAACAACTGGACAAGTTGGCCGTAGCTGAACACAGCATTGATCTGGGACACCGCATTCAGCTTCAAAATACCTCCATCCTCGCCACCAAGACCCGCTATATGGATCGCATCATTAGGGAGGCAATTGAGATTGAAATATGAACAGAGAGGGGGGGTTTTGTCTCAGCAAGTCTTGGAAACCTCTCATCTGTTCTCTTAGAAAACCCCCACCGGGATATGACGCCAGATCCAGAAGGCCACACAGGCCATGACCAACCAACATAACCACCCCCACCCCCCTCAGCTTATGGATTAGTGCCCAGCCTTTAACCTTGCCTTTCTCTCCCCTACACAAAAACACGCTTGTCCCAGCTCCCTTCCCCTACCCCTCCCACACTACTGCTTTCACTTGTATACTTGCCGTTCCTCCCTACCCTCTCTGCTCTCACATAGCTGTGTATATTTCCACACAGTCTGCTTTTACCGGTTCTCACGGTCTCTTCACTTTGCAGATTTCTTATATTTTTTCTTCTACCCTGAAGATGGAGGCGATACGTTCCTCCGAAACGTCGGTTAACACCACATATACACGGTGCCAAATCCCATAAGACTGCTTTCTTCATGGTTACTATATGTTCACCTGCTTTAACATTTAAAAATTTTGCATTTCGCCCACATAGTGTACTTATAGCTTTCTTGTAATTGTCAGAATAAATAGCTATTATTCCTTAGACGACATTAATTCATTAATATTTGCAGTTGAGACACAGTGTGTTAACTGAATTTTTAAATATTCTTTAGACGAGTTTGGTGATTGAAAGTGTTAAACCAGGTTGGCTTTTTTAATGAAATCCTGCTGTCGTTTCTTTATGGTAGATACTGAATGTTTAAATATTATTTAGACTAACTTTGTGCTTCAGAGAAATAAAGTGTACAGTACTCCTTCATGCAGTGTGTGTTGAGCATGTCTAAGATGAAAAGCTTCCTGAATAACATGCACAACGTAATGCATATTTCCTCCTTATGAAAAGACTTATATTCTGACACTGAAACTCTGATCAAACTTCATGTTGAAGTAATAATGAAATTTGTTTCTCTTTAGATATGACATGTTCAATTGCCGTCTGGCTGGTGCCTCAAATATCCATGGAAGCTTCATTGTACTCCTGACTATGGTTTTAATTGTGAGATTAATGCTTCGATGAATATCTACTAGATAAAAGATGGCAAAGTGCACAGATATAAACTAAAGGAAATGTGTACTCACCTAGAAACTGACAGGTGTATGTGGTTGCTCAAGTTACTGTACTCACCATACCTGTATGACCCATTCCATTTCAGTGACATTTCAGGTGAGAGTCACTGATAATTGCACAATAACTGTTGCTATTTTAATAAATATTTTTGTATAATGTTCAAATTGAACTGTCACAAGTAAAATACTCTTCAGGAAGCAGAGCACATTTCATCAGTTACTGTCTGAAGACAATGAATATTCTGTCAGAAACAAAATATAGATTATTTTTAACAGGATATATATGAGTGTATTACTGTTGAGTTCATTAATTTGCATGTGTGTATGAATACACATGCTGTGAACTTCAGTGACATTTCATAATACCTCAAATGCATTTTTAGTAATATAGTGGTACTTAAAATTGTCATTTGATGATGATGAGACAGTGGTAATGTGTGAACACTTCGATTTTTAAATGGAGTTCAACTTATAAAACATATTTTTTTAGGAAGCTTGAAAGTATTGTTACCTAAAATCGCGTGTTATAAAAAGAGCAGGACGTCGCTTTTTTACATTGACATCTGTGTAGTTCACATCAAGTCAAAGAGCTGTACATAATATAACATGGTGCTCATTATCCTTCTTTTATATGAAAAATTTCAGTTATGTTAAACATGATACTTTTGAAAATTAATAATTTTGATCCTGAAGTAAAGTGGCATCCCTGAAATGACCATTGGGATCCAGAAATATTTTAGATTTTAATTTTGTTGAGAAATGTATATTACTTTTTATCAAAATGTTTAATGAAGTTCAAATTTGATGTTTTGTGACCAATGACTATTCATATTCGCCATTTTAGAAATTAAAAGGTGTGTTCAATAAATAGTAAGGTTTTCCAGTGTTGAAATTTATTTTGGCAATTTTTGTTGCGAGTCTACTTGTGCATTTGTTGAACATTAACCAAAACTGAATAGTTCAAATTGTTTCCACATTCCTAGAGATATGAAGCAAAACAAATATAAACAAAAGATTTGCTTCTTACTAGTTTTAGTGTTTATCTAAGGAATGAACAATTATTTAACACATCACGGACCGGCAGTTTGAATATTTAAATCACCCTGAGGACCGGCATTTTTAAACCTAGTACCCTAACTTGTGCACTGTTCATTTTGAAAATTATTATAAAATATCCTAATTAATTTTATGAACTAAAATTTTTGGAGAACACTTACCAATCCTCCTAGAAGTGCTTGAGAGTGTGATATTTTGGAAACATTCCCCTTTGTGAAGTGGCATTACATAGAACTTGCAAATGTAGGCAGTCATACTCCATTTTTTTTGAACTGCACAAACAGTGGTGTTGCCTAGAAGGATGCTTCCCCTTGGAATGTTCACTCTTCACAATTTTCATGAGGGTATGTTTCCGCATACACCTGGGAGTCGCCCAGGGTGGTCCACATGATGCCTGTGTGGGGTGGGTGTTGATGGGCCCAGTCACACTAAGTCTGTGTCTGACTCTCGTTCTGCCGCCACCATCTGATCTGTAGCCCAAGCCTTTGCCACATTCATCAGAAATTCTTTGTATTTCAGTTTTGAATCAGGGTTTAGATTTTGTAAACCAAAAATGAATTGAAAATGGCACAATTTATAAACCACAAGGCAACTTTCTTTGTCCACTTTACTGTTTTCCGAGGAAGAGAATAATAGGCCAAGTATTGATTGGCTCTATCAACTCCCTTCACGAACATATTGTCGCATGTTGGTGTATAACGTGACAAATAATTTCACGCCGTATTTGATATAGCGAATTTTATTTCACATTCACATTTCACATTACAATCACACAAATTACAATCTGACAATTACTGCCATCGGTAGTATCACAAATACTAGACTACCACTGAGGGGTTGACTGCCTGGCTGACTCATAGCTAACTCGCAACTTGAGAAGAACTGTGAATAGTCTTCGCTGCTCCTTATTTAGCCTCGTTCCGGACAACACAGAAAACAGCCACGTAATAGGCACCACAGTTGTCTGGCGCCATGTTGCTAGCAATGCTGTCGGGAGTTGTTTACTGCTATGTAGCAACGGCAGCATCCCGTGTTACGTCACCGCGGGGAGAGTCAGGGTGTTGACTGCCTTATTACTGTAGCAACAGCAATGCTCCGAAAGTGTTACGTCACCGCTGGCGGGGTGACAGGTTGTCCTCCATTGCACAACACGTCACAATATTATACTGAGAAATACAAATAGGCTTCTTTACTTGTCCATGTCTCCTTTGAACATCAACCATGCTCGAATTGTGAACTGTGGATATCATATTCACAACACAAGTATCCCTCCAGGACTGAAGAAGAATATCCCCCTTCCTCCTGAATGTGGTTTCACCACGTTTCAGGGATTGAGATTCCTCTTTCAGATCTGGAGGAAGGCCTCTGTTCACCCTAATTGTTCCACAAACATGTACTTTTCTCGAAAGAAGGTATTCTGCAGTTACCACACTGTTATAATAATTGTCTTGATAGACATGGTAATTTTGATCAAGATAGGGTTCCAAAATGGAAACAATAGTTCCTTGTAATTTGTTGCCTTTACCAGAATAAATTTCTAAATTTCCAATATAGCCTGAAGTGCTTTCACTAACTACAGGAACAAGTAGGCCATACTCTGTAAGTTTCCCAGGATTATATGTTCGCATACGAAGCCTTCCCCTCCAAGGAATCACAGATTCGTCCAAAGACAGTTGTTGGTTTCGCTTATAAACTGTCTGAAAACTGTCTAAAACAGTTTTGGATTGGTAAAGTTTTTTTTTTTATATTATATTGTAAGGTGCACTGTCACATGTCACAGAGGTTGAAAGAAAGTCATTTGTAATCTCCACACACATCATGTAGCTTTTCTTTGTTCATACATAAATACTGAAAATGATAAGGGGCACTTATTATCTTCTCATTCATTAAGGCACCGTGTGCCATTGCGATACTATCTGTTTTATTTGAAGAGTAATTTGCATTGTTTTACTCATTATTAATTCACCTTAAATTACAATGATGATAGTGTGTGCTTGAATTTTTACTTTTTCAGAAGTTTTAAAATTTGTTAATTTTTCATCTGTTGCTATTATTTTTTTTTGTTATCAGCAGTTTCTGTTAATGATTAGAAATATTTCCTTCATTGCCTCTTTATTCAAAATTGCAGTATATTAATGTGGTAGGATTGTCAGCTTAATTGGGTATAGATGCAGAATAAGGAGAAAGTTGAAATATTAATATTTCAAATTCCATATAAGTACCTGAATGTTACAATTTCTTGAGACCAGCATTGTAACGTGATGCAGCATAAAGTGACCTACGATTACGTGAACTCAGTATACATGCTATTAACATTTTGCGGACCGTGCACGCATTAATACGTTTTTCACTTTTAAACGTGGCGGACCGGTCACGTATTAGTACGTTTTTAGAACACGATAAGTTGCAACACTATACATCACTCTGGCACCACCTACATTGCCCGCAACCACCTGCAGATGTGTGATAAGACTCTGGAATGTTTAGTCAGCCGTCAGTAACTTGACCTCGCTGTTTACTTAACCGACTATAAAGGAAAATGCTTTGCCTTCTTCAAGCTGTGTGTATCAGCCAGTAGCTAGTGGGGAGAATGGATCAAGGACAAATTCTCCTCTGATGACCTAGCTGACCTGCCTTCTGAGACATGTAGTAATGGATTGTCATTCAGAGAGCGACAGTGACGGGGGACAACAAAGAATTGTGGCCACAGACAGTAAAAGTGACAGTAGCTCCGACGATACTGCGGGTAATAAAATTGCGCTTAGTAACATTGCGGGGATAGCAAAAAATCTAAACCCTGATTCAAAATTGAAATACAAAGAATTTCTGATGAATGCGTCAGGCCTGGGCTACAGTCCAGATGGTGGCAGCAGAACCACGGTCACATAAAGACTTAGTACAACCGAGCCCATCAACTCCCACCCCACGAAGGCCTCATGTGGACCCCACAGGGTGACTCTTGAGCGATATTGGGAAAAGTACCCTCGTGAAAATTGTGAAGACTGAACATTCCAAGGGGAAGAATCTTTCTAGGCAATGCCGTGTGTGCACAGTTCACAAAAAAGGAGTACGTCTACATTTGTAAGTTCTGTGTAATGCCACTTCACAAAGGGGAATGTTTCCAGAAATATCACACCCTCAAGCACTTCTAGGAGCATTGGTAAGTGTTCTCCAAAAATTTTTGTTCAAAAAATTAATTAGGAGATTTTATATTAATTTTTAAAGTGAACAGTGCACAAGTTAGGGTAGTATGTTTAAAAATGCCGGTCCCCAGGGTGATTTAAATATTTAAATTGCCAGTCCCCGAAGTGTTAAAATAAGTATTCTTACATTTAAAAATATTTAAATGACAGTATTAGTTGTCATGTTAACATGGAAACATACATACAGTAGAAAGTGGTGACTGAAAAGATGCCATGCTGTAGTCTGCTATGTGACAGCATTGAGTCTTTAATACTCTTTTATTATGTTGGTTTCCTTGTTAATGATAATATACACTTGATAGTCTACAACATGGCCATCCACACAGTAGCTGTATTACATCCTAATTGAATTGCCATGTACAGTGAAAACATACATTTAAAGTTTATTTTTGGAGCAGTGGATTTGAATGCTAAAATGAGGAATATATGAAATGGAGGAAATTTAACCCAGATTATTGAAGTTGAATATTAAATCAGGAAAACCCATAAATTAAGGGACATTAAATGGAGATTTCACTGTAAACAAAATATTGGTCATGTGTAATCCCCTATTTTGTACATCACATTTCATATCATTATATACAAGGATAGTTTAATCAGAATCAGGTTTCTTCACATTTTCAGTGAAGTTTGTTATGTTGAAGTGTGAGAACAGTTTTGTGTCACAGTATTTCCTGTTTCAGAAGTTTGGTGTGCTTCATTTGTGCCTCTAATATTCCTTTGAATTAAAGACAACTGCTGAGATTTATACATTGCCTTTTAACAGTATTGTATTATATTATTTTTCTCATGTGGCAGACAAACTAAAAATTCTAAATCCAGTAGTAACCACAGCAGTTTGAAGTATAGTGTTTATAATTTGAAAATACTCGGCATGAAATGTGTATTGAGGAATATAATGAATTTATTTTGTATCCGTCCAATATGA